TGCACAATTGGTGACTGACTAAATACTTATTTTCCCCAATGTATATGTCACTATAATATAACACTGCCAGTGCAGATCAGTTGAGGACATTCAGTGAATGTATTCCATGTAAAGTTGAAAGTCCTTCATTTGTTATGTATGATTTCAGAAGCACTAGTTCATTCTGTCAGTTTTTTAGTTATTTGGAAGGTTCAAAGAGCCACCTCTTTTTCATTCTTCATAAAAATGAGCAAATTGGCTGTAAATACATGTACATATTGTTTCTTTATTCTCTATTTTATTCCTCTAAAGTTAATTTATTTATACTTGGTGTGTAGGCTGAGAGCACTTGAAAACTGAAGTTTGCTCACACAATCCTGATCAGTTAAGCTGCTTTTGATTCTAATAATGCTAGAATTTTCAGATGTTTGTAAAAACCTTGTCAGTGTTTTATAGAGCAAACTCTAATGTTATTCAGGCTTTGATCTTCAGCTTTACATCCTTGCTCAGGTTTATTTCTCCTGACTTTGTAGAGCAAAGCAGAAGGGATGACCTGGAAGCTTTAGGCCACATGTTCATGTACTTTCTGCGGGGCAGCCTGCCATGGCAAGGACTAAAGGTAAGAAAAAACAATTAGTGCTCATCTTATTTTTAAGTTGAAACATTTGCTATTAATCCATGGCAAGGTTCCTTGTGGAACCTTCCTCTGAATTATTTCCACTCCTCTCTGCCTTAGGCCGACACTCTGAAGGAACGCTATCAGAAAATAGGAGACACAAAGCGAGACACACCGATAGAGGTGCTGTGTGAGAATTTCCCAGGTTTGTAATCATAAATAGATGTGTGTTTGTTGCCAAAAACAGTTTTTATTCACTGCACACTGTGATAGAGTATCAGATTCCGCTGGCTGACTGTGTATGTGCGTGACTTTCCATTGTGTGAAAACAACAGAAGAGATGGCCACATACCTGCGATATGTGCGGCGGCTGGACTTTTTCGAGAAGCCAGACTACGACTATCTGAGGAAACTCTTCACAGACCTCTTCGACAGGAACGGATACATCTTCGATTATCAGTATGACTGGACCGGAAAGCCACTGGTTAGTGATAAGTGTGTGTTCTGTGCTCTTTTCATGCAGTAGGTTACTCTGATGAGATCTTCTTGCAGGTTTTCTGTTCAGTCATTGCTGAGTTCAGCACAGTGTGGAGGCTGTGTTGTGGTCGTCTGATTGGGCTCATGTAGACAGAGATTCAAATCATTCAGCAGCAAGCACTGGCACTGTGAGCCACTGTGGAAGTGTCAGAAGGTTCAGCATAGTTCAGGGTGAGAGACGTGATTTTTCAAATCTGTCTCCAACTCAGAAATCTTTTCATAAAGGGCTGGGTGATGCATCAAATTATTGATTAATCAAATATTTGGTGTTATTTGTGGAATATCAGGATTGTTTTCACCAATGCCTTCCTTGGGTTTCCATAGTTCAAAGTGAACACTTTGTAAAAACAAAGTGTGTTTTGCAGCTTCTATTATTTGGACTTTGAATTCAGGCTCTTGTTGCCGATACCGATCATCTCATTTCGCAGCCTGCCTGTGCAGCTGGTCTCCTTTTTCCTTCACACTGCG